GCTGGAGTCTGCTGAATGCTGAGACCAGGGGAGGCAGTGACAAGGGGGTGCTTCAGCTGCACAGAGAGGGTCAGGATCTGTAGGATAAGGTCTGTCTTCCTCTTTACTGCTGACTGCTGAGACAAGGGGGGGCAGGGACAGGACTCTTTACGGCTGTACGGAGATGTGTAGGATCTGGCGGAGGAGCACTGCTCTTTTCTCTGCTGCCGACCACTGAGACAAGGTGCGGGACAGAGATGAGAGGGTGCCACAGCTGCAGAAGAGGTACAAGGGCCACATTAAATGGCCTTGTGGGCTGGATTTGTCTTGCAGGTCTTGAGTTTGACACATGTGCTATAATCTGTCTGGTCATACTTTCACCTTATTCACTAAGCTAACATTTTCTACTCTAGTAAATTGGACTCTTTTAGTCACTAACCAAAACAAGTAAGTAGATAGCAAGTTGTGACTTTTCTCTAGATTTCCTGATATCAGCACTGTTACGGGTTAGTAGTTTGGAAAGAAGCTAGAATGGAGCCCAGGGGGTCAGCCCAATAACCAATTAAAATTTCAGGACTTCAGCAACACAGTCCCCATATTTCTCTCAGGAAAAGCCAAAAGGAAGAACATATGACCAAAAGTAGGTGGAAAACCCTTCAATGATTAAGTTCATGTGTTTCCAATGAAGGGCAGGGACGTATTTACCACAAGGCAAACAAGGCGTTTGCCTAGGGTGGTATTTTTCAAGGGGGTGGCAGCCCCCCAGCAGAAGTGACACGCATGACATTCCGTGATTGAGGATGGGGAGCAGATGAGGCGCAGGGACAGCAGTGCAGGCTGTGGGCTGCTTAAGAGTGTCTGACTCTTGTTTCTGAACCATTGTCATAGATCAGCGCATAAGGAAGATGTTGGGCTTTCCTGATCATGGCTCCCAAGGTTATGAATAAGGTTTTTTACCGAAACGCGTAATCTGCTGTAACTTCTACACTGTTCCCTTTATGAATATAGTACTTTTATCGAGTTGCCGATTCTTCACCTTATACTCTTATGCTGTTTAAAGTGCCAGGAAGACACTGTGAGCTTTGGAGCACCATTGGTCTACCTGCAGGAAATCAACCTAGGCATACGTTTTCGTTTTTGGCTCCTGGGGTGGCCGGCGGGTGTATGCTGGAACCTCTCTCAACAATCTTACTCTTGCCTAGGGTGTCACACAACCAAAATATCGTGTGCTTCCAACCTTGTGGTAACAGTTTGGGGAAGGCTCTTTTCCATTTCAGCATGGCGGTGCACAAAGCCAGCTCCAAAAAGACATGGTTTGACCAATATGACGTGCAGAAATTTAAGGTACTTGCGCAAAGTCCTAACCTCAGCCATACTGAACACCTTTGAGACAAATTGGAATACAAATTGCGAGTCGGGTCTTCTCATCCCACATCAGTACCTGATCTCATAAATTTTAGGTAAATAGCCACAAATTCCCAAAAAAAACTCCAAACTTTCATGAAATACCTTTCTAGAAATATGAAAGCTGTTAGAGTTGTAAAGGGAAGGCTAACTCCATATCAATGCTCCAGGTTATGGAATGGGATGAACAACAAGCTCACATAGGTGTGCTGGTCAGGTGTCTATATACATTGGCCGTGTAAAATAATGGAAGTAATGTCTTAGCCACAGTACTTTGTGTGTGGTTTTACACACACACAAATAAATAAGTAAATATAAATATATATATATAATTTGTTTTTTTCTTAGAATTTTTTGGTTAGAAATGCCATGCAATGAACAATGTGATCCATGACTTTGTGAGTTCTTTTTTTCCAGGATGTACTGTAGAAACCTGAACACTATTAATTATATTTTACATGCAGTGTATTCTTCCATTTTTTGGCAAAGAACCTTTGAATTTGCCATATTACTAATGATATTTAGTGGCAGCCAAGATTCTCTATGAAAACGACACTGTCTTCCAACAGACGTCCAGCCCCCTACTTGAGAAACCTTAGCGTAGACATAACTCAATATTGTATTCTGTCATTCCCTTTTATATACTGAACTCACTATTCCCGGTCTCAGCCCGCACCTCGTTAAAAAGCATCTTCCTTCCAGCTCTGTCTTAAGTTCTCTCATTCTGTTCCTAGAATGTTCACACCTCATTACAAGTCCACTTAAGGAAATTTCTTCTTTCACCCGTGTTTTAAAGTTTCACATTTTTTTAACTCGCATAATATAAGAGCCTTTGGAAAAGTCCAAGAACAACATTGATCGTTTTAAGTTGAACTTTCTTACTGCTTTCAGAATGGTTTCCCGTGATTAGTTGATCTATAGAATGGATTATACTGAGGTCTATCCAGAATTAATATTATTGTAGGGTATTAAACCTAGGGTCTATGATTATAGAGCCAGAGAAGAATCAAGCAAGGAGATGTGGGGAGTACGCTGACAAGGCACAAGGATCTTGCCAAAAGTTGCTACTTCAAAAAAGATCTTTTGTGGTCTTGGAATGGGGATGGAATCCATGATGGCATAAATTGGATGTGATAGAAGAGAAAACTGATGATGGATTGAATATGAGCCAGGGCGGATTTGGTTTGGATTATGGAGACACCCAACCCAGGATTCAATAAATGTTTTAAAACCCAAGTTCGTCAAAGGAACATCAGTACTCAACTGAATAAAAGCCATCAGTGAAACTTCAATATAATGGCAGTAGGAAGCTCAATAATAGTGTGTATTGCTCATTAAGTAGTTCCATCACTTTCACCAGGAGATTCAAGAAGTCCAACGGGCTACAAAAAGCTAAAAAAAAAAAAGTGTTATTCTTTTTATTTGTACTAAAGAACAACCCCAGAGATTCCATCCTCTGACAATAACTGTCACGTACCTGGTTGGGGAGCCTGACGTGGAGAGGAGGAGTCCTCTTACTACTCCCGCTCGGAGCCCCTGATAGTGGGAACAGAGGGCACAGAACCAGGAGTGGCACGAGTGCCGGGTAGGTCTGGAGCTGGTAGCAGGCAGGTGAAGACCCAGGAGATCCGGATGCAGGCCAGGTGCAGATGCAGGAATGTAGGTGCAGCAGCAGGCAGGTATGGCGGCAATCAGGATGCAGACTGGGAATGGACACAGGACCAGGATGCAGGCTAGGTGCAGGACTGTGGATGCAGCAGCAGGTAAGTATGGCGGTGATCAGGATGCAGGCCAGGTGCAGGACCGTGGATGCAGCAGCAGGTAGGTATGGCAGCAATCAGGATACAGGCCAGGTGCAGATACAGGTAAGAAGGTGCAGCAGAGTCAGACAAGCCGGGTCAGGATCAAACGGGCAAATCAAGTACAAGGGAGCAGGCAAGCAGATAGTCAGGGATAGCCGAGTCGGTGCAGACGAAGTTCTTTCTTAGTCAGGGTCAGATCAGATACAAGCAACAGAATCAGGTTATGGAATGCAAGACGTTATAGACCAGAAGGCATTGATTACACTGTATTGCAGGTTTAAATAGCCCGCCTTGCAGTGACGTGTACGCTACTGTGCATGCATGCACTCACACGCTCCCGCGCTCCCGCACACCCGCACGCTCCTGCGCACCCGCACGCTCCCGCGCACACCGCACCACTGAAGTCCGAGGGGATCCGTTGCATGGCGGCAGGATCCCTGACAATAACAACATCACCACAAGACCAAGCACTGAAATGTGGCTTGGAGGATGAAACCACAGCACTTGGTGGGACACACACGCAACTAGCACTCCTGGAAGTATTGAATGCCATGGAGTCTTACAGAGGCTGCAGTGCTAAAATGGAGGGAAGGTAGTACATATGGGCCATTGCAGAGGTGAGTATGCAGGCTCTTCTATTGCTAGAATCCTCTTTTTTGTCACCTTGACAAATTTTCTTTAGAATGCAAAACCCATGTACACAATATTTGTCCACAGTTCTGTTACAGACAAATATTTAAAATTTGGTCCCATCAGCCCAAAGCACCTGCTGCCATATTTCTGCACAGCTGTTTCAAAAAGATGTTTTGCAACAGGTGTCCCCACTGGAAGATTTCCCCTCACATCTTCTTCTGTAGAAAATATAAAAGTTTGGATTTCCTCTCACTTTCTGTTCCAGTGACACTAGTCACCAGTACAAATAGAAGGGTGAATCTTTCCAACTGGGACTCAGACTGCAATAAAGCTTGAAAATGGGTCTATACTTTACACACTCTATCCAAAACTAAAACAAAAAAAACTAAAAGTTTACCTTGAGTTAAAGTGTAACCATGTGCACATGTATCTTAGAGAGTAATGCTGTTGTAATGGCAAAGGGTGAACACACTGAATGTTCATTTACTCTTTTTTTTCAATTTGCACACTTTAAAAGCATCTCAGCTTTACAGCATTTTCACAAGTGCCTAAAAATGTTATATACTTTTGGAAGACATAGGAATCCCTTGAGGCCACATAAAGCTTTTTGTTTCCCCTCTGGTAAGCGGACAGCAAAGAAACATTTTTTACACAAACTAGCCACAAATCAGTATAAATCAGAGAGAATAGCCATATAGTGTAATATGTCACATAAATATATCCAGACTTTTATTGGTTGTGCTTACATGTAAATAATGATAAAACTGCATAAAACCGTTTCAAATCCCCATTCCCGCCTGCAGAGCAGCTTCCAGGACTGCCAATTGCGATATTCTCTCAGTTAAGATGGCCACTCGGGCACTTCTGGCCACCATACAACATCCTGAACTCACGTCCCTTGGCGCGTTTCGTCACTTCCTTGACTTATTCATAAGGGGTATTACACTATATGGCTATTCTCTCTTTTCCATGGGTGTTTACCTGTGATTGGCTGGGGGAGAATATATATCAAACTTGGAAACATAGAATTTCTGGCATTTGACATAACGTTGGAGGATTTAACCTCCCTGGCGGTATTCCCGAGTGTAGCTCGGGGTAACATTTGAGTACCAAGAGCGGTAACCCCGAGCTACACTTGGGCTTATCATGCGGCGTTGCTCAGGGGGTAACTGCAGCACTTACCTTGTCCTTCGCTCCCGCGATCTGTCCCCTGCAGCGTCCCCGGCCATCTCCTCAGGCCGATGCCGGCATCCGGCTTCCGTGTTCCGGTCCCTGTGACTTCGGGACGTACGGGCGCCGGAACCGGCGGCAAATTTTAAATTTTTAAAAAGTGTCATTTTTGTTGTCATTGCTGTTTCAATGCATTTCACATACATTTTGTCCCTACTGCTTTGTCCTGTGCCCTGCCTGCATTTTGACTGTTCTTTCTGCCTGGAAACTTAGAAAAGTCCATGGTGTCCAAAAAGCGTCCCTTTACGTCAAAAGCGGTTTTAGAAGAGCGATAGTAAATCAGAACCACTTGCAGAATTGAGTGATAATGATTCGTGGGGAAATTCGTCATCAGACACTGAAAACGATTTTGCGACTTTGCTCAGCGATGTGCGAATTTGCCTCTGTATTTCAAATTTCAGTGTTTTTGGTTTGATTATATTATTGAATTAAATTTATTATTTTTATTTTTTGTGATTATTTATTAAATTATAATTTATGATTTCGTGTTTCAAGTTTTATCATATCCGGAATGTTTAATAGACTCTTGTTCGGACAGATTTCAGTGAGTTATTCCTAAAAATTACAGCCTACAATAAAAAACGACATATTTCCATGCAAAAAAATGGTACCACTTTCAGCACAAAAAATCGGAAAGAATCATACCGCCAAGGAGGTTAATGAAGGAGTGGTGGCAATTGAATGAGGCTTTTTGATCACATTTTGATGGTAAGAGTATTCACTCTAGCCACATAGAGTGTACACGGAGTGCTGCACTAAAATCACGTGTTCGCACGCAGTATTTATATTGTGTTTTTTTTCACATATGTATATATTGTTACACTGAGGATAGTACACAATTTTAGTTTTTGTATTTTTTTTTTGAGGTACACTGCGATATTGGATTTCATTTTTGGATTATCACATTGAAGATTGTTGGAAGGGTCTTACTGACACTAAAAGAGGATTTACGATTTATACTTTAGACTTTCAAGGGTGAAAGTTGGATTTTTAAGTGTCAAGGGATTGGGTATTAATTTTTCATATTTATTTCATTTATAGTTAGACGTTTTGCACATTTATTGATATATTTCTCACAAATGTTGTAATATTTGGATACCAATGTATTCAGTTTATATAGCCACAAATCAGGACATGCCCTTATTATCAAAGTATATATAACAGTTTTTTTTATGTATTTGTAAGCTCTAAGCCTGGAATTCAGAAATTCGGATCAGCCAACTGAGGTGGATTTACAATAGTCTAAGACAGATTTAGCACTGAAGATGAGAATTTCACTCTAGGTGCACAATAAGAAGTGGTTAGGGGAAGGTTTAAAACCTAACTCCATGTTTTAGAAAAGGTTATAAAGCAAAAGGTTTTTTTTTTACCTTCATGCATTCTATGCATGAAGGTAAAAAAAAAGCATTGCAGTAGCTGTTCCTCTATCCCTCTTTAGTAAATACTTACCCAAGTCCTACATTGATCAAGCGCTGTGACCGTCTGTAGGTCCTCTCTCTTCTCTCTCTCTCACAAGCTTGGCTGAGAGCAGTGGGGGGCATTGGCATTGGAAGTGGTTTCCTATGGTTTCACCCCAGAAGAAGAGGTAGAGGGCTTCTCTGTGCAATACACTTGCACAGAGCAGATAAGTATAACATCTTTTTTATTTTACTACAATAAAAAATATAGTTTAAATAGTTTGTTTGGACAAACCTGGTCCAAACAAACTATTTGATTCACTAACAGTCCTGAAACCAAATTGAGTCAAGCCGAGTGCTGCACAACCATTCACAGGAGGCTTTGTATTTTATGAATGAATAAAAGGCTTCCCCTGATTGGCTGAATTGGAAAGAAGGATGGGTGACATCCTGATCTCCTCCTCAGCCAATCAGTGAAAGCCTTGTATTCTGACAGCGGTATAGAGACTTCCCATTGTGCTTCAAAATCAAAACTGAGTTAGATCGAGCACTGCTCAGCCATTCACAGGAGGCTTTGTATTTTATGTCTGAATAAAAGGCTTCCTCTGATTTGATGAGGTGGGAAATGATGTCACAATTTCTAGCTTGGTCCATATGAACCAGTTAAAGTTCACTCAAACCTGGAATTAGGCTTTAAGTAGTGCCATAGCACTACTTGAGAGCAGTAGAGGGATTTTGAATCGAACTGCATAATCAACACAAATTTGTCTCATAATCTCTCCCATTACTTTTGTGTAGTATTTCTAACTGATAAATGTTCCCTAACGATTTTACTGAATATCTTCAAAAGTTTACCAAATCCAAAACAGAGTAAAGGTTCTTTCACATGGGCTTTGTCTACTCAGTTCCGCAGGGAATCCATGAGCAGCTCTCTTGCTGAATCAGAGCTGAACAGGATGGATATCACTTTTTTTTGTTGTGTTGGATTTATGGGTTGCAGAATGAAAACGGACTTATAGGCATTTACCTCGGGCTACCTCTGATCAGTCATATTTAGGTCTGGAAAAATGGAAAAGGATGCTGTACTTTTCCATTTTTTGTTTTCTGGACCTGGACAGACTTGGAAGTAGGCAACTTCATTCAGCATGCGCCTATTTACATCCACCTGCCCATAAACTTGAATGAAGCTTCCCATCAGCAACAACTGAAAATATGACAGTTGGACCAGATCGGGAAACCCATGTGAAAGAGGCCCTTTGCACGCCTGAATGATTTGAATCACGTCTTAAAGCTTTAGCCTTCAATGCTGGATACTAGGATTCCCATTATATTCAGTGATGCCTATTCACACCTGAGTGTAGTGTTGCTTAATGCTTGAAACTTGTCACTCGAAAAAGTACAGGGGTTTCTTTTGGGACAGAGGGGCCTGTTTTGTAGACTTCAATAAAAGTTGCCTACAAACAAAGCCCGTAATGTGTTTTTTTTTTTTTAGCTTATTTTTTTGCCTAGTACCGAGTTTTGAAAAAGAACCCCATCTGTCCCCAACCGCCTCTACACAGACAATCAATAGACCACTGATCGCTCAGTTCTCGGTCTTCAATGAGCAGACAGCTGACTCCAGTGAGCAGACTCACTGGAGCACTGGGCTGGAGAGAGGGTGGAAGTGGCTGGCTCAGGCTCTCAGTGGCGCGCGGCTCTCAGTGGCGAGAGGCTGATACAGTTGACGGTCAGGCATCTTGGTGGATCTCAACATTAATCCCTTGGCACTGGCGCCCTTTAAGGGTTTCAGAAGCCGGGAGGCGGGGCGGGTTTTAGGGTCATGTGACCACCGTGATTTGCTGTCACGGCGGTCACATGACTGGGAAAATTCCGATCGCAAGAGGAGATCAGGACCTTTCCATGAGTACCAGATATGTGTGTGATGGGAGCGCACAGAGCACGCGCTCTCAGCACATATGTTTTTCTTAATTGCACGCAAATGTGCGGCTGCTCGGCGTCAAGGCCCAGGCGCCGGGAGGCCGCACATTTCCATGCGGCCAGCGCCAAAAAGTTAAAGTCGGGATCTCTCCAGAGTTTGGACTGGTTAACTGATATCAGCTGACAATGGGCTTTAGCCCTCTGTCGGCTGAATAAGAGTCACAGGAGTACAGAATAAAGTGCTCTCCTGTCACCCACAGGAGAAGTATAGACAAAATAGCTTTGTTCGTACTTCTCCTTTAGGTCTGAAAGCATACAAAGCACACAAAAATTCCTGTATAAAATGCTAAAAATATGTTGCTTAAGTGTGAATGGGGCCTTAGTCTACTGGTGATCTAACTGTAATTCTATGTCAATTCCAATGGTGGCATTACTGTAATTGGCAGAAATAATTAGCTGTGAGGTCACATGCCTTTCAGAATTCATAATAAGTTCATGGAAGACATGCTAGACCTAATGCGGGATTCAACAAACAATGCTGTACAAGCATAGCACCAAAGCTGGCCCGTGCCTAAACCTTCTATGGTTTCTGCAAGATATTAGCAACAGCAAATCTCATGTGTGAATGTTTTAGATTCCAGCACCAGCTTCTAACCTTCATATTGATCTATCGCTACTCCCGCGACTAACGTTTGCTTTCCATTATCTAAAAGGTATATGGGTTTGCAGGAACTGCAGAATTGAAACCACGTTTCCTTTCTCTTCTTGAGTGATGGTGTTTTATTGAGTTCAAGCTGTGAGACGGGGAGAAAGTGAGCACTGATAAAACCCCGGGAAGGAGAGGGAGAGGAAATTGCTTTTCGGGAAACTGTCCTGCTGTTTGTGGATATGTTGGAATGGTGCCGATGATTAAGGGGAAAAAAAGTGCCCTGTCTGCAGGTTTTTCATCAGTATCAGCAACATGTTCTGTATCTATGTTGTAGAGGAAGGTGTATCAAGGGTTTTGGTCTACAGCCCAACTTAAAATCTCCTTGTTCAATGTTGTCACCCACTGTATTCCATGGGATTAAATGATCGCTTAGTTAGGGTGGAAAGAATAAGTACAAACACTTGCCTTATTCCTCACTTCTCTGGTAGCCAGTGTTGTCTGCCACTTGTTGCTCCAGAATATGGGTGGGCCCCCGCCATCCTCCCATGCAATGCAGGACTGCTTGTAGGCAGGAGCACTTAGCCTTCCCACTTGTAGGTGGCCTAGTGCCATTATTGCATGGGAAGGGAAGTCTCATAAAGTGATTGGTCCCTTAGAGATTCTATACACTGCCTTGAGAGTGAAAGGTACTCTGATTGGACACTAAACTCTCAAGAGACTTCAGCAACCGTTTTGGGTGAGGGAACCTTTTAAATAAGGGACCCCGCATCATTTTGGTGCGCTTCTGACAAGTGTGTGGTAGAGAGAGGAAACCCGCTTGCGAGGGAGAGGGATTAGCACAGGGAAAGGTTTCCAGACCAAGAGGGATAGCTCAGGGAAGGCTCTGTCTTCACTTTAAACACACCAGTAAGTGGTTTGGAGGCCTGGAACCAATGCACAGAAACATCCTCTGCCAATTCAAAGAAGGGACACTACCCCTGGTTTTGCAAAACGTCCTCTGGTTGCATAAACAGTAGACACCAAGAATGCATGTTACCTGGATTGCTTGTATGGGTACTCATGAACAATTTATCTGTTGCTGCAACCAAACTGTACAAGATTTATATAAATATACATTAGTATATAACGCTACCCTCTT